GTGATTTAGGCGTCTGAAGGTGACATAGAAGAAGTCGTATGAGGAGGAAAAGAAAGCTTATGAGCAGTCGTGAAGCCAGCTAAAGGTTACTGTAGAAAAGAGAGTGTAATGGCGTTGTGTTGTTTAGGCAGTTTGTTTTTACTCTCGGAATATAAGGAATGATAAAGCTCTAGACAAAAATAGACTGCTGAAGGGAAAAAAAGTCAGAAAGCCATGAAACTGAACAGATTAAAAAACTCCGCATAATCCAAAGAATAATTTGAGCTAAAGCTATTTATCTTTCATTAGTCTAATATGTTTTGAATTCACCATTTGATTGTGTTCTCCTTATTCATTAATATACGTAAATCACTTTCACACATGTACAGTCTGTAACTGTTTTCAGTAGGGGTGTATTTGAAGAGAATAAGACAAAATACAAATAAATACGGTAAATTCTACGAAACTCCCTCCCCTCACCTAACGAATGTACTTGCTTCCTTTAAAACGATAAATTAATTCACCAATTAATAAATATCAATCACGATCAACAGAGAAGATTATCCAGCAGACTGTTATCTGTTTCTATTTTTAAAAAAATATTCATAACAAACTGTTTCAGTGTGACTAAACACTCTGTAGTCGGTTGTGGGATAAAACCGAAAGTAGAGTAGTTAAACACGACTTTTGAATGAATACAGTGGATGGAGTGAGTGTTTGGGGTGGGGCATATGCTGGATAAATAGCTAAACAGAACGGAAAGCCAGTAGATAGAGGCAAATTTCATGGAATCTTCACACTGTCTTACGAAAATATCCCGCAGTGATGTCACATAACATGATTAGTTAGTAAGAGATAGGTAAAGAGGAGAGAAAACGAAAAAAAAACATACCGAGAGAAAAAAAGCAAAATTGATTAATGTTATTGTTTGAAAAAATTAAGCAGCCACATGTGTATTTCACACTGAACCTTAGAAAAATTTCCAGTCCTCTTGTATAATATTTGATTGCCACGTCAAGTTCAGTTAAAAATTTCCAAATTTTTATCACAGGGGAGCGGTTTATTGATCTCACTTGTTGTTTTCACTGTCTACACTGGTAATACACAAACTTACAAAAACTTAAATATATCTGGTGTTGTATAAGATGAGCGTTCATCGGCCTGTCAATATGAGGCATTCAGACAAAAAATAATAAATAAAGAACTATAGTTGAAATAAATTTTAAAACAGACGTTACGCTTACTCCATCACTTGTTTTTACGAAGAAAAAAAATATTCGTAATAATTAGACAATGAAAGTGTTGGCAAATTTATTTCTGTGTATAATTAATAAATCTAATATTGTCCCTGTTAAGTCTAATAGTAAGGTTAAACTTTTAAAGGGAATTAATAAAATACATCCGTCGAATTTTCTCGTGTCGTGTTATTGTTTAGATCAGATGGTCTCCCTCACCCCTGCTGCACAAAAGAAACACATTTTCTAACACTTATATTTACAAATAAACTTTCCTGTTGAAGAATGAAAACACATTAATTAGAACAGTACGAATCTGAATTTGATTCACTAAAGAAAACTGCTTTGAAATCAATTAAATTCAGAAAAATGTTCTGGTTTTTAAAACCTCGGTTTTATAAAGGAAGCTGATATTTGCTGGCTCTTGCGGCTCAGGATAACACAAATCCTGACTTTAATTGTATTTCTACGAAGCCAACAATTTGATGTTTTTTGAAATGGCCTATTTATTCAAAATGGAAGTTGTGATAATGGCTTTGACTTTCAGTCTACTGATTTCTCTCACTAACTTTATTAACAGTTACATTTAATCCAGAATTTTGGCGAACAGAGTCACAGCATATTCGTTGTGTCATGTGTGTTATTTTCTAGTACGCTTAGAGATGATAATCGTCATTTGTCCTATCATTTAATGAGTTGGTATCAGTTTCTGTTTAGAAAATAAGATGCTGAGATACAATTAATTCACAGCATTTTGCGAAATCAGTTCTTTTTGTCTTACTCAACACAGTAAAAAAATAAAAATAACAAATATGAACATATTTATCCATGCATTTCTGTCACATGCATCTATATTAAGACTTTCAGAAAAGTTTCTGGTTATGGAAGGCATTTAGGAAGGTAGCGTTTTGTTTATCTGTGCTTATTTTAAGGTTTCATAGAAGTAGCATACTAAATTGTTTCTTTTCAAGAGTTAAGGATACACTCCTAGCTCTTATCAGTCTTCCTTCCATTAGGTCTTTTTGTTAATTTAAGGAAAAAAAATATTTCCTCATACTAAATATGAGCACTTCATATAACGATGACTTCGATATCTCTGTGACTGACATATTACCATGAGAAGGTTTTGTTGGTTTAGTGTACTTAAATTATGTAGACATTTTAAGCGAGGATACTGATGAAACTAACAGTCTTCTGAACACTTTGAACAGATATATGAAAAAGTTTAGTATGTGGTTCTCCCCTGTCAGATTTAAAATGATGCTACACGACTGGTCTACTTTGTCTCCCAGTTTAAGAATACCAAGTGAAACAGTTAAACGTGTAGGTCGCTACTCTGATTCGGGAAATTTCACCAGCCCTAATGGATTGCTTTAGCCGAACGGTTAATTCACTGCATACTACAAACGTGAAATCTTTCTAGTATCAGAGGGCGTATATACTAAGCACTAGTTTATTCTCCCCTGATATAAGGCTATAAGACTTGACTGCATAAGATGCAGGATGTGAAAAGATTAGAGGTGTTTGGCTATTAGTGTCTTCTTGTAATTGCTTACGTTAGATGGAACATTAAAGTAATTATAAAAATTAAAATAAAATTAAGGGAGACCACTCAATGAGGTTAGGAATCTCCATGGTTTAGGTTGACTAGGTAGGCTAACGCCTTTCTCTGTGGATAATGTTCAACAAATTAAGATTAGGATTATGTTAAAATACGTCAGGATTGGTCTTAATTAAACACAGTACCAATCTATGGGGGCATCCAGATGCTAGAAATTTACCATTGAAAGTTATTTACAAAATCACTCGAAATCGTTTACAATAGTGCAGATGTATTCACTCCATTGTTGTCATCCAAATTCTGAGAATGTTCATTAACCTACATTTAATTATTCTTTCCCGCACATCCCCGTTGATTACATTTTAATTACGCTTCTTTTTTTAACTTTTATAATTTGTTTTCCTGATGTACGGACAACTTGGACTGCCCCATCTTTGAGTACAGTTCTACGTTGTTAAACTGTATTTCGTCTCAAGATGTTCTTCCATCTAGTAAGTCCCTTTATATCGCTGTATCCATTAATTTGTCTAAATTTCGTTCCACATAGAGAAATACTAATAAAGGGCATCAATTAGGGGTCCTTCAAAGAACTAGTAAACTCTGGATTGGATAACTCTCACTTTTAATTATTAATATGTACTGGCTATCCCACCAAGAAACAAGTCTAAAAGCTGTAGATCGAATAATAAGTGCAGCAGCTTAAACTCAATGGACTATCTTGGTATGTTGAGGTGACCTGCTTAAATCTTGGGCTACCAAAAACTTCCATCTCTCTATTGAATATACTTTCTCTCGTTCGGTTTGTTATTAAGATATGTCCGTTAAGATATGACCTCTAACGGTATTATCTACTCTTGTGTCTCTGTAGCATGTTTACAAGCTTCTGATTCGCAAGTTCCTACTAAACTTGAGGAAAAGATTGATTGTCAGTGGCAGTATGTTGCAGTACATGGGATAACTGTTTTTCAGTTATGTCCTTGGGTCTCAAAATGTACTTCTGGACATCCTACAATCGGCATTCAACTAGATATCGTGAATTTCTTGAGGGAAACAAAGCAGATATATCATAATGGAATATTTTGTGCTTCAGTTCAGAGACCATTGTGTCACAGGATATATTATTATTATTGTTTCCTTGGGTTACTAGTGGAACATAGGGCTTCAACTGCACGTCTCCACTTGCTTCTGTCTTCTACTGTACTTTTCACCTCCACCCATGTTAGTCCATGCTGTTTTAACTACTCTTCACACGATCTCCTCCATGTCACCCTTGGACGTCCCACTCGCCGCTTCCCCTTCGGGTTCCACTCGAGCGTTGGCCTGACGCGCGATGTCACCCAACGGTCTCCTCAGCGAGTGTCCAATCCATCTCCACTTTCTCCTGCATATATGTTGAGTGATTGGTTCTTGTTTTGTTTGCTCCCATAGCTTCTTGTTTGTGATTCTGTCCGGCCATCTGATCTTCAGTATAGAACGAAGACAGTTGTTGATGAAGGTCTGCAACAGGCTGTTGGAAATATTCGTTGTGACCCACCAAGTTTCTGATCCATATAGCAAAACTGACTTGACGTTGGTATTGAAAATCCGAATTTTGTTGTTGATGCTGAGTGACGAAGATTTCCAGATTGATTTCAGGTTGATGAATGTGTTTCTCGCCTTCCCGATTCTCGATTTGACATCCTCGTCCATTCCTCCTGTAGTTGAGACAATGCTCCCTAGATAAGTGAAAGAAGTAACCTCTTTCAAATCCGTCCTGTTGATGGTGATTGGTGGTGGATGTTGCTGCTGCTGTTGTTGTTGTTGTTGGCTGGTTATTTTCATAACCTCCGTCTTGTCTATGTTCACCTGGAGTCCTGTCTTTGCTGCTTCTCCGACCAGTTTGTCGGTTTTCGCTTGTAAGTCTTCGACCTTGTGTGACATCAATCATAAATCATCCGCGAAATCCAGGTCTTCTAGGTTCTTCACGTCGGTCCAGGATATCCCTGTCTTCTCGTTTCCCACTGTCTGACGCATAATCCAGTCACAGAATATACTGTCAATTAATATTTTATTTGAAGATATTGTGCGAAGACAAAATATCATGCAATAAACTCCCCTGAAAATTCTGTACATTTTATAAATACGGTCCAGAATAAAGATGTTATTATTGTTAAGGCTTTCAGGTGACCATAAAAATCATTATTATGCTAATAGCTGAAGAAAAACACCTTTGACTGATAATATATTTTAAATATTACCATCATGACAATGGTTTGAAGTTTAACATTAAGCTCGTTGAAGCGAATGATAATACATTATCAATTTATTTAAAGAAGCTACAATTTTCTTTTTCCAGTAATCTGTTATACAATAATACTATTTAAGGTGATGTAAGTTTAAACTGGTTCAGAATATCTTCTAGTTGTGTTTTCAGTTGATCATGACCTTTTCTTAGAAAATTAGCATCCTCTTCAGCTCTACGAGTTGCAGCAGCCAATCTATTGGCTTCTTTCTCTTCAAGTGCCCGACAGTTGAGTGCTTCTTTTTGTATCTTCTTTCTTAATGATCCTATTTCTTTCTCTAAGGTGCTAATTCGATTTATCTGCCTTTTACGATCGGCTTCACGTGCTAGCGACTTTTGCAAACCAAATACAACCCCTGAAGCGTAGATCGATTGTAAAGCAGCCAAAGTCGTTGCTACTTCATTTCGTACTCTCAGTAAAAGTAAACCTCTTTCAGCACAGTGTATTGTCAGTTGACGTATGAGTTCATCAAACACCTGTAATTTGTATACATTCAATTAACAAAGTAAGAATTGGATTAATTATTATGGTGACTGTATAAAATAAACAATGATTTTAAATTAACCACCACTGTAGTGGGTCTAGTGATCAGAATCCAAGGTAATCAAATATGGAAAACAACCTGAGTCTGACATAATTTAGAAGTAATCTAGTATGATTTCCGATTTCACAACTTAGATTGCTCTTAAAACAGTGGGTTGACATTAATCTTGGTGAGAAATGGTGGGAAATGAAAGTAAGCTTAGACGGAATAGCTATTTGCTTAATTATAAAACATCTTAACTTTAATTAATTACACAGTAGTGCCAGGTGCTAGCTGGATTGTATCTGCCGTTTAGATCACCTTTCATCGATCCAAGATTAATCAGTTCCAGATTTATACTATTTTTACAGATGCCTACTCCGCTGTTAGTGATTCTAGATTCAAATTTTAGACAAAAGAAGTATATTGCTCAATGAGACTGCCAGCTCTTATCAGCTGAGACTTCAGACTAGTATAATCTAATGATTTCTTTTAGATAGGATAGATACACAGATATTAGCATCAGAAGACAAGGCATTGTGCCCCAGGGATTCAGTCTGTCACACCTTCTGTTTGAACGTCAAATAGTCCCGGAAAGAATACAGAAAGTAAGATAATACAATCTAAGTTTATCATATCCCATATGTTTTAAAAAGAAAAGGTGAAACAGTGAAAAAATGTTACGAATTAGAAATTATAAGGTATGAATATAAGTACACTATGGCTTCTGATTCATACTGTCTAGATCCCTTGACTACAATTCCCACTCAATAAGCAAACCAAAGACGGGAAACCTACATTTTTGTGCAGTTTAGATCAACAATCAATGACTTTATTGGTTAGCACCATTTATTGGTTTCCCTCCCCCCGCCTCCACTTCCTTCCAACTAAATCCTATTTTCAGCAACATAAAACACAAAGGCAGGTGGTAAGCAGGCCTGTGAAATACAGCAACAGATATCATTAAGTGCCTTAAAAGCTACCAAATACATGTCACAAAACCACAAAATTTAGCTTAATCTTCTGATTTTGCTCATATTAGGTATATTAGGATGATTGTGTCCGAATACAGCATGTACTATAGAAAGGGACTGATTTTAGTAGACAAATGAACAAATATTCCATGAGATATAATACAACAGTATATCAGAATAAGTTACCATAGTGACAGTAGACATAATAATAACAAGTCAGAAATAAGAATAAAAATATCGCAATATCAGTTGCCTTTGAAACCTAAGCAGAGAAGTACCTAGTCGTTTAATTACGAACCTAACGACAGTTAGTTTCTGTATCTTTTAGACTAGCCTATTTCAAAATTGCTAACAAATGACTGATATTACTGGGAAACCGGAATGATTATCATTGATAGCATTAGAAAGAATTTCTCGTAGTAATCACATCAGTACTATCTTAAACGCAACTTCATTACATATTTCGTTTGAAACAAGGCCATTTCTAAAGCTACTTAAGTAAAGTTTATTGCCAGGATCTCCAAAATAAATTTGTTTTACCAATGGTTACGTGTAATTTCACATCAAGCACATTCAGAAATTGCATCTTTTCATGATTTAAGCTCTAACTATTGACAAATAATAAGTAGTACAAAACTTTCTAGGAAAAATTAAATTTGGGGTGAATCAAGTACAATAATAAATGGGCAACTTTATTCTGAAGAAAATGTTTACAGTATACAGATTTCTCAGAGTAATTTATTGCATAATATTTTGTCCTCATCTAGGATCTCCAAGTAAAATAGAAGTCTGTGGTATATCATGTGACTCAGGATTCTTAGATATGAAGCGCAGACTAATCCCATACAATATTTTTCCTGCGTCTCCGCGAAACGCCCACCTGTAGTTGGAAAGCTAATTGGAAATATGCATGATTACATTTTGCGACTCAAGTACATAACTGAATGTGTAAGACAATAAGAATCAGAGAAGATGTGATGCATTGCGTTAGGTATCCCAGTGATTCAAATAGACCTCCAATGCTGTTATTTCTAATGAATGCAGTATATTTCCACAAGTTATGTTGAAGTAACACATTATAAAATACAATGTAAGAATTTAAAACAAGCAATAAAGGTTAATAAAGCAGGATTTAATGAATTCATCAAATTTCGGTAGAACTCGTCAGCTGAATACTCTACATACACGGATATATACTTTTGAAGTTACATTGGGAGATATAGGACTGAATTCTTTACATACACGGATATATATAGTTTTGAAATTACATTGGAAGATATAGGACTGATAAGTAAATAAACTACATTGAATTAGTCATGCAGAAAGACAGGTGCGAATGTTTTTTCCAGGTCATGTGCAATTAGATAAGGGGAGAGAGAGTATGGGAGATCAAAATTAAGATAAATTGCATTACGCTTCAATTACATCACTTAGATAAACAATTAGACATTAGAGAATTTAACAAGAATGTAAGAAGGAAGACGTATATTACTTATTAAACGTGAGTATTTTGTTGAAGATCTGACGAAGCATATTTCTTAACTTCTGTGATATGCCGGTACAGATTTTCAGATGTTAGTGCATTTATAAATGCTTGATACATTGTATTGGCATATGTAAAATTATATCACGAGGTTAATTTCAAATAACCCCTAGATTAAGAAGACTGCATTAAGTAGTTGAATCTGTAGACCTGTTGATTTATGCAGGACCTCCTGTCATCCATAAAAGACTGATTTCTAACATTATTTAAGCTAATACACAAAAGGCTAACTTATTTTATCTGTGGTTTCAAAGAGATATCCATCTACTTATAAAAAAGAGCATACTGCACAGAGCTGAGCTCTGTTTGACCGACGCATGCCAGCTAACACCACAACAAAGATACACCAAAATGCACATCATTGTCGTGTTACTTATCTCAGTAACCACACTGTGCGCTTGGTTTGATGATTAGGGTGTCTGAAGTAGTTTATTTTATATCTCTCTTCATATTTCAAATTTACTTATACTTTAATTGAATTTTAGATTTTCCCGTCGATTAATTGGATCGAAGTTTTCGGTCTCAGATTGACATGTCGGCTTCTTGTGCAGGTGCTTCGACAATGTCTGGGCATGTAATTAGAATTAAATTGGTGGATGGTGACTAGCAGTGGAATCCAGGATGCGCATTTCGTCGTATTTGGGACTCTTCATCTTGATGTGTCTATGGGCACCGGGTTCGAGCCTCGGTGGGAACATCACCACTCACTGGGGAATGCAGGTACATCAGGCTGGCGAGTCCCAAATAGGACGAAATGTGCATCCTGGATTCCACTGCTAGTCACCATCCACCAATTAAATTCTAATTACTTATACTTTGATGAATATTTTCAGTGCATTTATTTACAGATATTCTCAATCTTAGAAATAAGTTCTGTACCCAAAAATAAAGTTATTTTAATGAATATTCATATTACATTTAACCTGGACTCAATGATAAGAAAAAATTTTTTTATAAAGACTGGTTAAATAAGGAAGCGAACATCTACTTATTTTTCAAACTCCACTCATCATTAACAGAAATACAGAACTGAACCTAATTATCAACGCAGAACTTTGCATAGAACCATAATACTTTAGGTTGCATACTTTATAAAAATGCACATAAATGCAGAGAAAGAAATGCAATGAAACTATAATGAACGGAAAAGTGCGATTACATAAATAATAACGAGAATTTTCAAAATTTGAAACACTGCAGCATCTGTGTGCTATGCAGAAAGACCTAGAGTCATATTGCCAAAAGTTTCTAACCACTGGTATAGAAATACAGAAAGGAAGGTGAAATTAAACATAAGTGTATCTTGTGTCAATAATCCTGTTTTTTACATTTTATTACCTCTTACTATCTAACTCTACTGTCTCCGGCCTTCATGCCTTCAGAATCTGCCATTATTTTGAATTGTACACCTTTTTTATGTCTGTGTTGCGCCGTATTATTATTATTACGAACAATTCAAAGCTGTTTCACACCTTAAATTTGTATGAAAGATTATCACATTTAAATCTGAAACTTGTGTACATGTAGACTAATTGTTTGACAACTGCTAAAAAAGAAGTAGCTCTCAACTAATGATCAGAGTCTGTTGACTGAGTGTGATTTGTAAAATTCGGGTCATGGCATTCTGCTCATTTTAAGATAGTTCTATTTTTCAAGTGTTGATTTGTAGGGATTTGATTGGTTACAGGATTTTCATCATGAGCTAACATTAGTTAGAGAACCATTGGAAAATCTGGGAGTACTGGACAGCTGTTTCGTCCTAGTTTGGGACTCTTCAGCTCACTAGCGACTTGCCCTATTCAGGTAGGTAGTTACCTGGGGTTCTAGTGAGAAGTCGTGACCAGTAGGGTGCAGCAGGTCGGGTGTCAGGACAAATACTCGCCGAAGATATTGGCTAGCGGTTGCGCTATATCGTGAATTGGCAGAAGTTAGAATTCATGGGCCATTAGATAGGGTCCCAGTGGCTTAGTGGTATACGATCCCGCCTTGTAACCAGAAGGTCCTGGGTTCGAAGCCCGGTGGCTGCTGAAGAGTCCCAAACCAGGACGAAACAGTTGTCCAGTACTCCTAGGTTTTCCAATGGTTCTCTAACCTATGTCAGCTCATGATGAGAAGTTTTATTTTTGTTCGACTCCTCTTTCCGTGATTATAGAAATACAGTTATTTAAAACTATCCAAAGTTTCAAGCTGAAGCATCAGTATGCTAGGGGTATTCACCAATAAAACAATCTGATGTTGAGCAACAAACCTGACAAAAATCTTTCTCTGCTGTTTATATATGTGAAACTATTCCAAGATACGGTCTGAATTTATTAAATGGGCAGCTGATTAGGATTAAAAGTGATGGCTTTTATCTAGGATTCAGTTTCCATCAGGATCTAGATTTCCATTTCAACTTAAGTTATTACCCTACTATTACATTGGAACCAGTCAGCCAAACTTAAACCATCACCAACACTAGGTGTATTCAAAAAGTCGAGGACTTTTCGAATAATCTTCGATGATCCAAAACTTACCATATTCTTGACCTAAAGGCAGCAACTAAGAGGTGACAATATCTGGTCATGAAGGGGGTGCCGATAAAGTATATCTTATTGATCAAGGCACCCTAGTAGAACACATGCAGTCATGTAGCAGTTTATGCAGTTGTTATTTGAAGTAGGGACAACCAGTGTTGTTCTTTAGAAATGCCCGACTTCTCCATTTTTATTTAATTTCACAATATGCGAACTAGTGAATGTTACCGTAATTAAACTTTAGCCACTGAAGGATTCACTTATTACTAAAGTACGCTCTCTTCAACCTAGAGTTATGAAGATGATATAATCCTTCTAGGTGAAGACACTGACTTAATGCAGAGCCTTCTGAACTCCCTGAGTATAAATCTGAGTATATTTAGCATGTAATTTGCCTATGGCAAATGTAAGACAATGCTGCAAGACTGGTTTGTACTGACTCCTAGATTATAGATAGGAGGTGAAGTGATTGGATATGTTGACCACTTCACTTATTTGGAAAGCTGCATCAACTGATTGCTGATGAAATCTTAGGGCAGATACGCAAGGCTTGTCTGGCATTTGCCTATTTACGCCATTTCTCGCGTAGACGTGATATCCGCCTATCGACTAAACGACGTGAGTGATACACACCAGTTCGGGGCTGTAGGACGAGGCCATTGAAAGTAGAAGACTTGAAAAGGTTAGCTGTCTTTGACCACAGATGTTTGTCTTCTATCTCCCAAGTTAAATGGTTTAATACACTGAGTCATATTGAGGTTAGGCATCAGGTGTTAAGTAAGGAGGAAAAACTAGTCGATAAGGCTGTGAAGCTACATCCACTTATTTGGCTAAGACACGTATTATGCACGTCGAGCCACAGCCTTTCTCACTGAGCAGTGTTAACTGACATAAGATTGGGTTGGAAAATAGCTAGACGTAATCAAATCAAAACTTGGTATCAATCCATGAAGTCCTCTACTGTTGGTATGAGCCACGTAGAGAGAGAGATGTAGATTGACTGGTTGGGATCCTCCAGACGCCAAGAACCAATGTCTGGAGATTGTTGGTGACATGGGTAAGAATCATATTCAACGGTTCATATGCATTCACCCTTTGTAAACTCCTAAATCCACTACGTCCTCATATTTCTCTATTAAGTTATTGTTTCTGCAGTACATTTCCGCTGTTTATAATTCTTTTGAAATTTTTCTCTAACTCTGTGTGACATAATTTATTACAATCAGTAAACAAACATATGGTCAAATCAATCCAACAACTCACATAAAACTATGGCGTATCGTATATCCATAGTTAGAAAGCAAAATATCATAGTGTTTGAAAATAAGACCAGAAACAGTTGTTGTGCTACAAAGGATTCAAAGTGATTTTTGATAATTTATAAAAATTGTACAATCACTCATTCTTTAATACTACTTTAATCTGTCTTCCACTACTAAGGCGCCAGATATGGGTTGACTTAAATAAATTAAAATTGACAGTTTAAGCTTATAGAAAGATAAATTTACCGTAAAATAAATTGTGAGGACAATTCTTTATGTTTTTCACATACCTGTGTGAATAGTTCCCTGCGAACTGGACAAATACCAGTCATTTTAGCTCCACGTAATTCAAGCTGTTGGTCTAATTGTTGTATCAGTTGAATGACATCTATACGAGAAGCTGGACACGACGACACTTCTTGTATATATAGACTGTTTCCGATGACAAAACGTCTTGGTGGCATAATACTGCGTAAAATTCCTTCAGCTGATTCGACTGTTCTTGCGGCATTCGGGTCTAGAGTGGGAATTAAAGAGAGGACACCAGTTTTATTATAATATGGTCCCGCAGACTGGGAACGGGATTCTCTCAAAACAGAAAGTTCATCACTCTTTTGGTCATACTTTTGTAAATCTACTTTATCAGTTAGACGTACAGGTGACTTGTATTTTATTAAACTAGAATCAGGCACAATAAGTTGCTGTTCAGAACTCATATCATGTCCAAACGAGAAGAAAATGACAAAATTATAATGTTTCACTATAATTATGAAAATAATATTATAATTCAAATTTCTTCGATCTGATTTTTATCGATTTGCTTGACTAAGCTAACTATCAGTAAAAAGTACTCACTATACAGGTTGCAGCTAACATAAAGTCACTTGCCCTATTCTTAAATTCTGTATTAGTTATCACAAACAATTATGACACTTTCTGTAGAGGAGTCTGTATTACATATGCAACTAATCTGCATTAACCAGTCAGGAATTATTATTTCACATAACGAGCTAAACATATGCAAATGATAATTAAGTCTCTTGATCTGTCAAAAGGTATTTCATACGAATATATGATCACTCCGGTGCCCACTGACCGAGACCCTTCTACAACACAACACCTAAAATTATAATATGGTCACAAAAATTTATATAGGTGATTGTTAACAGACACTGATTAGTGGAAATTCTTTCGGTAAAATAAACAAAAAACGCATCTCATTGACCATCATCACTGTGCTAATAATATACATCACTCTTCATTGGCTGTTATAAATCAGAAACATGCCGGGTGTTTGCTTATTCCAACTAATTTTAGTAAGCATCCTTTCTGTAAGCCAGATTGTAGTTTCCTTATAATATGCTCACGCCACTATTTCAAAAGGTCTGGAAGGAAGAAAGGATACCTTGTGAAACTAATAAAGGAGGGAAACTTAGGCTTCTACAAGAACTGGCTCGGAATCATGCTTTTGTCCACACCAAATAAAATATTAAATCACATCATCTTGGAGAGAATAAAAGATGCACTGGATGCAAACCCTGCCCAGAACAAGCTAGATTCAGAAAAGGAAAGTCATGTACTGATCAAATTGCAACTCTATGCATCTGCATCAAACAGAGCACAGAATGACAGTCAAACCTCCATCTCAATTTCATCGACTTTGAAAAGGCCTTCGACAACACTGACCGCGAAGTAGTCTGGAAACTATTTCAGCATTATGGCATGTAATGCCGCAAATCTTTATCAACCTCATTCAACAGCAGTATGAAAGTGGTAACAGTTAGCTGATCCACAACGAAAAACTCAGTGAGGCGTTTGGAGTGAATACAGGAGTAAAACAGGGCTGCTTATTATCATCGACGATATTCTTCATTGTGGGGGACTATCTCATGCAACAGATCCTGGGGAACGAGAAGACAGGAGTACCTCGGACTGGTTAGAAGACTCTAGAAGATCTCGACTTCACGGGAGATTTTTGCTCAATATCACACAAACTCAATTACAGGCGAAGACCAACAAACTGGTGGAAGAAGCATCGAAGACAGGACTCCAAGTGAACGTAGAGAAGACGAAGGTGATAAAGACAACCAACCAACATCAACAAACAACAGTCACTATCGACAGAAGAAATTTCAAAGAGTTCACTTTTTTCACTTATTTAAGCAGCATCATTTCAAATATAAGGGGGACTGATGAGGATGTAAAACAAGAATCGGAAGGACAAGCAAATCTTCATCACTCGTCATGAAGAACAAGACACGGATTTCCAACTCAAGTGATAAGTCACTTCTTCTGTATAGGTGGATCAGCGACTTGGTGCGCCATGAATAGCATTTCTAACAGGTTGTAGACGTCTCTCAACAACCGCCTTCACTAGGTCCATACTGAAGACCAGATGGTCAGAAAGAATTAGCACTAAGAAACTCTAGGAACAAACCAATGGAGAACCGGTTGCATAACAAATATGTAGAAGAAAAGGGAGATGGATTGGACACATGTTGAGGAAACCGTTGGATGACATAGTTCGAGTGGAACCCGAAGAGGAGACGGTGATTTGGGCGTTCAGGGGTGATATGGAGGAGATCGTGCGCGGAAGAGATAGGAAAAAATGGGTGATCGCGTGGCCAGATGAAGAGAACTGCAATTATTATCATTATTGCTTCCTTTAATTCCTAGAGGAACATAGGGCTTCAGCCGTGCGTCTCCATTGCACTCGGTTCTCTGCTAAAGTCTTCACCTGGCTCCAAGTCTGTCCACACGTTTTCATCTCCTGTTCACATGACCTCCTCCAAGTCACCCTTTCACTGACGACCAACTCGCCGCTTCCCTTTCGGGTTCCACTCGAGCAATGGCTTGTCTAGTGATGTCACTTGATGGTTTCCTCAGAGTATGGCCAGCCAATCCATCTCCATTTCTTCCTGCCTATTTGTTTCACAATCGGTTCCTGCTGTGTTGGTTCGCTCCCAGAGATCTCTGTTGCTGATCTTTTCTCGCTGGCCATCTGATCTTGAGCGAAGTATTGAGCAAAGACAGTTGTTGATCAAGATTTGTAGTTTGTTTGAAGTGGCCTTCGTGACACGGCGCATTGGAGTTAAAAATCACGATCTTTCGTTCAAGCTGAGTGCTGTCGACCTCCACACAGACTTGAGATTAATGAAAGCTTGTCTTGCTTTTCCGATTCTTGCTTTGACATCCTCGTCAGTTCCGCCTGTAGTTGAAACGATGCTTCCCATGTCGGTAGGTAAAAGAGGTTGTTTCTTTCAGGTTCCTCCCATTTATGCTGATTGTTATCTGTTGTTGTTGCTGTTGGTGGTGTTGGTCAGGAATTTTCATCACCTCTGTTTTCTCTATGTTCACCTGAAGGAAGTCCTATCTTTGATGCTTCTTCTGCCAACTTGTTGCTTTTCACTTGCATGTCTTCCAGTTTGTGGGAAATCAGACATATATCATCGGCGAAGTCCAGATCCTCCAAGTGTTTTGTGTGTCCATTTTATGCCTGTTTCCTCATTGCCCGCTGGTTGTCGCATTATCCAGTCTACTGCAATCAGGAAAATCAATTGGCAATAGTAGGCAGGCAGCTTGTCTTACTCCTGTCCTCACTTCGAAGGATTCCGTAAGTTTCCCGTTGTGGATTACTTGGCATGCATCGTTGTCGTACAACTGTTGGATGAGATGTATTATTGTCGGTGGCACCCTTCGGTAGTAGCGAATTAGTTGCCAAACCACCTCTCGATCGACGCTGTCCAAGGCCTTTTCAAAGTCGATGAAGTTGAGATAGAGAGGTGACTGCCATTCCAAGCTTCGTTCAATGGTGATCCGTAATGTGGCCATCTGATCAATGCATGACTTGTTTCTCCTAAATCCAGCCTGTTCCGGTCGAAGTTTTTGATCCAGGGCTGCATGTTTGATTCTCTCCATGATGATGCGGCTTAGTATTTTGCTTAGGATAGACAGGAGCATAATTCCGCGCCAGTTCTTGCATTGACTTAGGTCTCCTTTGTTTGGTAGTTTGAATAAGATGAAGAGGACTGCAAGAATAGGACTAAATGGAGATGTGCTGTTGAGGCTATATGTTCCACTTGGAACCCAAATGAACAATAATAATATAATAATAATAAACGTCAAAGTTAAACACCAAGAGAGTTGACATGAATCTATTTATTGTGAGAAAAACAAAGATTAAACAATAAAAGCTGGTTAAACTGGATATTATTACTGGCCTATGAAATCATTGACTTGAAGTCTTAGGTATGTTCGGGAATGTACAGTTCTTGTCCGAAGTGCTGGGAATTTCCGTTCAACGCATCAGACGATAGAACACAAAACTGGTTACAGTGATGCATATGAATTAGGCCCTTAGGTACCTTCCTTTTATTTGTCCTTTCTTTCTCTCACTAATTAGCTTCTTACAGTTCATAAGAAATACAGCTAAAATGTTGGATGCAGTTTTATATGCAATTCATAAGTGCTATCTGTTTCTCAAACCGTAGTCATGATATCATAAACGTGCTGTTATTAACATACATAAGAGTATGTAACAGTGACCTTATAGTCACATTTTTGTTTGTCTATCTCGATGGTGAATTAGTATTTTCTCTATTTGTTCTGTACCCCTTTATTTTGTCAGTTGTAATTTTTTAGTATTTTCCTAGATTCCAACTTACCGTGTTTGCGATGTTGGAATGTCATTCCTATGCGTTCCCTGAGGGACATGGAGCTTCGAGCTTGAGCTCTGAAGTTTCAGTAGCAGTACTAACTTGTTCTTTTACGGGATGAGATTGCTAGTCTCACTCCTCACCTCGCTTCTTAGTTGGACTTATAACAGGCTAAGTGAGGTAAAGTTGTGCACCGGACGGGAATCGAAAGCCGTTCCACGTGTACGGGTGAAGAGCATCCTACTGCCAAACCACCGACACGCTGTTTATGTTAGAAACAGTGACGTTATTTTCGAAGTCAGGTTAACAAATTACATAAGTGTATGAGAAATCTGTGGTATCTACTCTAAAGTCAAGCCCTCTGAATTATGCTAATATACGTGCAAAGAATATTACTATCATATTAACTGAATTATCCGAAGATCATTCAGATTTAATTACATAGGTGGTTCAACATTGTCTTTAACACCACATTTACTAAGAAGTCGTACTTATGACTTCTTATCTGTCACGCAATATGTATGACTGTTCAATTTGTACGCCGCTATAATAGCAGTTGTCAGTGGTCACCAGAGTTTCGTTTTTAAAAAGTGGCGTTATTAATTTTGCCTGGAGACTGATGGAATCATTCGTACTTGTGAAATTGTAATACCGGCAGCTTCAGCTTATTTCTATAAGCATTATAGGCACAATAATCAGAGCTAACTATTACTGCGTAAAGTGTCACAGTGTTATATAATAATATATCGGTAAATATTACTGTATAATACTGTGAGACTTTATCAAAATAAATTTTACCCACAACTGAATTATACTCTACCATGTAGACAAGTTCATACTCGCCTAGTTTATTAGCTTGCTA